CTGGGCAGACTTTGGGAGCGGCCCTACGAGGTCCATGCCTACCCTTTCGAAGGGGACGCCGATGATAGGAAGTGGGATTAGGGGAGAGGGCACAGGCTTCTTGGGCGTGGTTCGTTGGCTTTGGGGGAACTGCTGGCAGAAATTCCAGACCTCGGTGTCCATACCTGGCCAGAGGAGCTGGTCTTTCAGTTTCTCCAGGGTGTTGTGGGCCCCCAGATTACCACCTAATGGATGTGAATGGGCCAGGTGCATGAGTACCTGGGTCTTTGTTTGGAGGACGACTAGGAGGTCGCACACTTGGTCACATCACTCTGTGTGGTAATAAAGGAGTCCCCCTCAGACCAGAAAATAGAATCAGCAATCTTTGGTCTGGGTCTTGGTCCATCACCTCCACTTGTCGCACCTGGCCCCAACAATGTTACTGGCAGTCGTCTTCCTTTTGTTTGTGCAAAAAGTTGCCCTCAGGAGTCACCTGGTGAAACACAGATGCCCCTGGGGCTTTGGCGGTGGTACTTGGGGCTGTAGGGAACCCTGGCCAGTCTCTTCCAAGTAACCTGGGCACCGGTAGCTCAGGAATCGGGCCCACTAGCAGTGGCCACTTGCCGGAGGAGACTGAGAGGGTCCCACACGGGGCAGGATCACCGGCTGAGCAAGAGTCTAGGAGGGTTCTTGGGTTCTTATTCTACAATAAGAAATCAGAAACAAATTAATAATAAGAATAGCAATGTACCTAAAATACTCATAAAAATGTGAGCTATGCGAAAGCAACTGATTCAGTTTTCTAGAAAAATAATGCAGTCTTATGTTTTTTCTCTGTGAGTGGCCTTTGAATAATGTGCGTCACAGAGACCAAGATCACTGCTGGGTTATGCCTGATGGATAAAAATGCAGATGAGCAGATTAGATGCAGAGACCAGGAAAAGATCGCTGCTGTGTTATGCTTGATGGAACAAAATGCAGATGAGCAGATAGACAAAGTGGCAGCTCGAGCTGAGGCGGTGTGCTATTTGGTGACGCAGGGCAAAATTTTCTGTCCTGTTAGGAACAAAGTGGAGGGGTACGAGCTCGAACCCCCCCCAAAAACCCCACCAGTCTGCGGGTAAATATAAAGCATGCAGGACATCTTTATTTCAGCTTCATGCATATTCAGTAAATACTTTTAATTTTCATTTTAAATTTAATTTTAATTGCTTATTTGCTTATGTTTTAGGAAACCAAACCAACTACATTCATTACAAAATATTGTGTACAAGTACAAAAAAAATTTGTTTTGTATGCTGTTCCTACCTCACACACAGACACACGTACACAAAACAGTTTGCACTATAGGAAAAAAAATTTGCACACTATATAGTTTCTGTATACACTGTACAGCTCTGCATATTTGGATATTTTTTTCTTTACATATGCTATTTATATATTCATATTCTGTATATATATATATATATATATATATATATATATATATATATATATATATATATATTTTCTACATTCTTCTATAGGCTGCTACATTTTATTATATTCTGTTTTTATTATGTGTGTGTATCTTAGTTTGTTGTTGCACTGTGGGACGAGGAACTAAGGAAAAACATTTTACTACATGACGTCACATGCATGTTTGTGATAAATAAAGAACGTTGAACTGCAGGAATGCTGTTGTTTACTGTACATTACATTTTTCACCAACATTGTAAAAAATTGGCAACATTATTGTAACACATACAGTAGTAATATGTATTAATAAATACAGTTTTTATGTCTATTATTTATAATTTTGTTATTTCTTTATATTTACAGTGTCCTCTAAAAGTATTGGAACAGCAAGATTAATTCTTTTCTTTTTTTTTTTCTTTCTTTTTTTTGCTATACAGGGGGTATACGCATTTGGGTTTGAGATGAAAAGATGAATATGAGACGATAGATCAGAATTTCAGCTTTCAATTCCTGATATTTACATCTAGACGTCTTAAACAATTCAGAACATGGCACCTTTGGTAGCAGACCACCCAATTTTTAGGTGAGCAAAATTATAGGAACAGATAGTGTTAAAGTAAATTAAAGTAAATAATACTTAATATTTGGCTGCATGTCTCTTGCAATAACTGCATCAAGCCGGTGACCCACTGACATCACCAAACTGGTGCATTCTCCTTTCGTGAAGCTTTTCATGAGCTTTCATGAAGCATCAGATGGCTCTGATGGATTTTCACAGTTTCACAGCACACAGTTATAGAAGGGAATGATTTATAATCGCACTATCGGGTGTCACCCAGATGAGGATGGGTTCCTTTGAGTCTGGTTCCTCTCAAGGTTTCTTCTTCATATCGTCTCAGGGAGTTTTTCCTCACCACCATCACCTCTGGCTTCCTCATTAGGGATAAATTCACATATTTACAATTTATTTTGGTTTAATTTAATTTGAATCTATTTATTTCTGTAAAGCTGCTTTGTGACCATTTTTAAAAGTGCTATACAAATAATTGAGCTGAATTTAATTGAATTTTCCCTCTTTTCTCAACTTCAGAATGTCTCGCTCTTCCCCCATAGACAGCTCCCTGGTCTTCATGTTGGTTTATCTTTTTTTAAAAACAAATTAAAGGTGAAACCCAGGGCTCAAACTAAGAGTAGACATTCAGAGCTATTAATTGTTTAAACAATCAATCTAACAGGACACACCTGGGCAACAAGAAACACCTGTCAGTCACATGTTCCAATATTTTTGCTCACCTTTTTAGTGGATTCAAACAAAAGGTGCCATGTTGCCAAGTTGTTCAAAACGTCTAGATGTAAATATCGGGAATTGAAAGCTGGAATTCTGATCTATCGTCACATATTCATCTTTTGAACTCAAACCCAAATATCTTCAACGTATAGCAAAAACAAAAAAATTGGCCTTGCTGTTCCAATACTTTTGGGGGAACTTTATTTAGGGAATATCGCTACATCTTTAAACTCATTAAAAATGCAAAGATCAACAAATAACCAGGAAAATGCAAATTTATGCTCTTGTTATCCCCAAATAGCTTAACGCTGCATTTGACTTACCTTGTATCTAGTAATTGGCAGGTTGGTCACATTCCACCTCGGCATGGTCTAATTGAAGTGGAAAAAAAGACACGGAGGCCCTCTATGTTCATCTTTTGTTAGCAACAAGCTAGCCAGCTAATTGTAAAAAGCAATGTACATTTTCCTCCTCAAAAGAGTGACCTGTTTAGTCAATGTTTTAGATTTAACAAGTAAATATGTCTGTATGTTGATTGATCTAAAGCAAATACTTGTGTATACAGTATAACACATCTGAAGGTACAAAGCAATACTTTGTTTATGTCTGATGCTGTGTGCAGTCATGTTGATCTGTAAATGGGGAGGGAACTTGTAGTTGAGAAGACTACCCAAAGTTGGAAGTTCAAGTTGAGAGGGCGTTTTCTTTGGCTTTTTCCTGGTTGGAGATGGTGGCATTAAAAAGTGCATTGGAAGCTTAAAACCTGAGCTTCTTTTAAGTTTATCTACTTTAACAAAGAACCTTGAACAAAGGAGTTGCAGGTTCCACCGAGATTTGAACTCAGATCACTGGATTCAAAGTCCAGAGTGCTAACCATTACACCATGGAACCAAGCCACAGTGAGTGCTTAGTTTTCACCAGCTGAATACTGCCATGTACTGACTGAGAACAGGAAAGCTGCAGTTCTCCCACAGGGCAGCAACTTAGACGTAATCAAAAGACAAATTCCAATGCCGAAACCCGGGATTGAACCAGGGACCTTTAGAGCTTCAGTCTAACGCTCTCCCAACTGAGCTATTTCGGCTTCTGCGTTGGAAACATGCTACTTTTTAATCCAAAAATTTGGATACAAAAATTGTGCATTCTGAAAAATGCAGTAAGCCCAAGCTTTTTTGCGATAATTTGTCTTCTTCCTACAGTGGTAAAGAACCTTGACTAAAGACTTTGCAGCTTTCACTGATATTTAATCAATATTCAGTCCAGTGAGTCTAGCTGAGTCTAATCTCTCAGATGAGCTATTTTGGCCAATGTACACAAAATCATTACTGTATGCAACAAAAATCAAAAACTTAGTCCACGTATATCTTGAGCAGAATTGTAGCTTACTACAATGTACATAGAGCAAGGATGTACCTTCAGAGCTCCAGTCTAATGCTCCCCCAGCCAATGCAGAACTCCATGCAGTTTTGGGCTTAACTGCATGGACCAAAAGGTTCAACGTTGGCCCATATTCATCTTTACAAGTGTTTGGAGCCTGAAAGCTTCCAAACCTACACTTCAGTCAAGAAAATTTACCTACTGCAGTACAAAACCTTAAACAAAAGCTTTACAGGTTCCACTGAGATTTGAACTCAGATCACTGGATTCAAAGTCCAGAGTGCTAACCATTACACCATGGAACCAAGCTAAAAACCACAGATCAGCTTCTTCACCAGCTGAATACTGCCATGTACTGCCCAAGCTCAGGGAAGCAGCAATTATCCCATTGGGCAGAGACTAAGACACTGTAATAAAAACCCAGAACCAATGTTTCAGACTTGGCCCATATTCATCTTGAAGAGAATTTGGTCCATATTCATCTTTACAGGTGCTTGGAACATGAAAGCTTACTTGGCGCAAGCCTACGCTTCTCACCGCAGTTGTAAAGAGTGATTAAATGAGTTACTGTAGACTTCCTGTCAGCTCAAACCAGTCTGGCCATTCTCCTCGGATCTCTCTCATCAACAAGGCGTTTCAGATGGCAGATCCTCTGCTCACATGATGGTTTTTGCTTTTTACACCATTCTGTGGAAACTCTAGAGACTGTTGTGTGTGAAAATCTCAGGAGCTCAACAGCTTCTGGCTACATCTGAGAGAATTTATCTAGATTACAGAAAACCCACAGGGCCACCCATGACACCATGGAATGTTGAACCAGTTCCTTCCACCAACTGAACACTAGCACGTACTGTCCGATTATCACAAAGGCCAGAAGATATCATTTGTAAGTAGTCAGAGTTGCCTGGGCTCGATCGAGAGACGTTTAGAGCTTCAGGCTAATGCGCTCCCAACTGAGCTATTACAACAAAAAACAAAGAAAATACTTTAAAGCTTAAAAAAGTAAAAATCACAGTAAAAAAGACAAAAAAAGTCCTGTGATTTTGTCATAATCTATTATTTGTACTTTTTACTTAAGAAATCAAGTGTGTATTATGCATGTTACTTTAGACTAGAACCAATTAAAATAGTATTTTATTTAATTAATTGTTTAATTACTTAATTCATTTTAATTAGATGTTCTTACCAATGACTGTATGAGTGAACGTCCTAACAGGGGTGAAAAAGTGAAGCCGGAATGGCCCTGAGGCCCCCTATTGGCTGGCTGCAGTACCCTGTTTAGCTCCGCCCATTCCCATGTTAGTCAAAGGAGCAGGAGCCAAATTACATTTTAAGTTTCATCTCCACAAATTATTTCCAGGAACAGTCTTCTGTCATTTATAAAAGTTCTGTTGACCTTGATATCTCCCCCAATATCTTTCCTTACGATAACGGTGTTTTATAGGAGTTTTTTGATGATAAATAAAGGGGTGTGGTTAATGAGGTGATTGACAGTCCCTGCAGAATGTACACGCCCTCTCCAGCACACACCTGCAGCTCTGTAGCAAAGCCATGTCCTGTTCTGCTGTGAACTGTTCTAGCAGACGCTCAGTGAAGAATTCTCTGCAGTTTTTATGTTATGGTGCTCGTTGTGTTGATATTATAACTAGCAACCCAGTGGCATAAACCCAGGCAGCTAACACTAGCTACATTTCATAATAATTTACTATTTACTGTGTGACCTCAGCTAACAGTCAGAGTATCTTGGTAAAGTTAGTGTCTCCTTTCTAAACAAGCTCCACCGACAGAGCGAGCAGAGACTAAAGGAGCATTTCTCCATCAGATAGGGAACTGACTGCGGCTGTCAGAGCCAGATCAACATCTCGAGTTAGTGGGAATAAGTTACATGTTGTTGGTGGAACGAACTGAACCCGAGGCTATTTCAAACCAGGCCCACTTTTATAAGCTCTCTTTATGGAATACCTCCTGGTGAAGTTCCATAATAATTCTTATGAAACTTGCTGACCTACAGTCAGGTCCGTAAGTATTTGGACAGTGACACAGTTTTGGTAATTTTGCCTCTGTACACCACCACAGTGGATTTGAAACGATGCAGTCAAGATGTGACTGAAGCGTAGACTTTCAGCTTTAATTCAAGGGGTTTAACAAAAATATTGCATTAACCGTTTAGGAATTACAGCCATTTTTTACAGAGTTCCTCCATTTTCACAGGCTCAAAAGTAATGGGACAAACTAATATAATCATAAATATTAGGATTATTTTTATTACTTGGAGGTAAATCCTTTGCAG